TAGTACAATTGCTGGATTTTATCGTAAGCCTATGATTTTTATGGTGATGAAACAATTCTTTATGATACTGTAATGGTGGATACATGACTTTACGCATTTGGCAAAATCCATAAAACTGTCCAACACAAAGAGTGAACCTTAACGAAAACTAAGGACTTTTGTTCATAATAATGTATCAACAGTGGTTCATTAATTTTAAGAAATGTACCACACTAATGCAAGACGCTAATATAGTCATGTGCCACGTAAAAACGTTTTGGTCAACAACAGACCATATATATGACAGTGGTCCCATAAGATTAGTACCATAGAGCCAAGCTGTAGAGTAGGCTATACCACCTAGGTTTGTGTAAGTGCTGTATGGGAGGAAGAAATTTTCCTCTATACTCCTGGCTGGTCTAAGAATTAAACTGTCATGAGACAGATTAACAGGAGAAAAACAAACAAAAGTTTAATAACATGTACACATGGGAGAAACAGAGGAAAACCAAGTGACTGACCAAAATGGCTGGAGCCCTCACCTTAAATGCCATCCTCAGCCAAAGATAAAAGAAAGTGTTGGGGGTGAGGAGAGTGGACTTCAAAGGGAAAGAACACAATTCACAGGTAGGTGAAAAGGAGAAAATGTTTGGAAAACAGGTGTTTGGCCACACAGAAACAGAAGAACACAGAGGGGAGCCCAAGAAACAGATTTTTCTAGGTTCCTCCCTATCTACCACCTAGTTCATGTTACGCTAAGGTGGTAGCCTGCTTCCTGAGACATGTTTTTTTTACCTGAATTCTTTTGGGCAGTTAAGGTGGAGGTAACGAAAAAAAAAACCAGATTTTTACGAATCTTTCATTTCTTAAAAAGAATCAGCCTAAAATAATCCCTACGTTAAAGAGACACATTTTGGGGTAGAAAATTTTGTTCCCTTTCAGTACACTCTATGATGTTCGCACAACCACAAAATCACCTAAGGACGCGTTTCTCAGTAGAGATCCCTGCAGTAAAGCAACGCATAACTGTAACGGAAAACAGTGTGCTGGGGGGAGGGTGGGAGACGAGGGGGAGGAACATGGAAATCTTTGTATTAGCTGCTCGATTTTTCTCTAAATCTAAAACTGTTCTAAAGAAAGTCTTTCAGTTAAAAAAAAAAAAAGCAATCAGAGAGACTGTAAACCAAAGCCAACAACAAATCACAGTATATGAACTCCAAAATTACCCTGGAAGTTTTGGTTAAGTTATCACACTCTGGACAATGTTGGAGTTAGGTTGCAAAAGAAAATATATTATTTTTTCACTAACTTTTAAAATAAAAATGAGAAGGTTTTGTCAGTAAAATTGTATAAAATAGTTGAAGAGAGTGTTCTGTAGTGATAGGGTATAGGTTTGAATTTCAACTTTATACTTACTTGTCAAATTAGCTAATGACTCTGAGACTTAGTTTTCTCATCTGCAAATTGGCAATACCATTGTATTCACCTCTTTGGGTTGTTACAAAGATTAAACAAAGTAATGTATGCAAAGGGCTTGGTGCAATTCCTAGTACAAGGTCAGTGCTCAGTAAATTACTTTTCAATCTTTAATTGTGCAAACTAAGATTAAAATTTCACCTACCCAGACTAAATAAACTCTTAGCTTCTTAAGGGCAAAAATTTGTTAACAGTCATCTCATCAATGTAATCAAAACTTTCATCAATGTAATCAAAACTTATCTGGACTTAGTATGAAGCTTCTAAATATACTTTTCTATACTGTCTGAAAAAAATTACAAAAAGTTTTTCAGTTTTAGATGACTAATAGACTCTATTTCAACATTACTATTGTTTAGTTTAAAAATTCACACATCTTTGGGGCCAGTCCGGTGGTGCAGTGGTTAAGTTCACACCTTCCGCTTCGATGGCCCAGGGTTTGCCAGCCGGATCCCAGGTGTGGACCTATGCACCGCTTGACAAGCCATGCTGTGGTAGGCGTCCCACATATAAAGTAGAGGAAGATGGGCATGGATGTTAGCTCAGGGCCAGTCTTCCTCAGCAAAAAGAAGAGGATTGGCGGCAGATGTTAGCTCAGGGGTAATCTTCCTCAAAAAAAGAAAAATTCACAAAACACATAAATGTAATAGAGAAAGAACATGGGGTCAGTCTAGATTTAATGAAAAATTCAAATTGCTAATTTCTCTGAACTTCAATTTCTAGTTCTTTAAAATGAGGAGTTGGTATGGGTGATATCAAAGATCCCAGCTAGTTCTAAGATTTTATGTTTCTAACAGTAGATTATCCTGACTTTTTTTTTTTTTTTTTTTGCTTGAGGAAGATTGTCCCTGAGCTAACCTCTGTGCCAATCTTCCCCTATTTTTTGTATGTGGGACACTGCCACAGCAGTGCTTGACAAGTAGTGTGTGGGTTCACACCTAGGATCTGAACCCCCAAACCCCAGGCCACCAAAGTGGAGAACACAAACTTAACCACTACACTACTTGGCCGGCTCCTAATTTTTTTAAGTATATTGAAATATTCACTGTTTAAAGATATTGACATTAAGATTTAAAAATATTTTTGAGAGCTCTTTAATTTTTTAATGTAAGTATTATTATGATAGAATAAAGATTATGCATTTAATTGTGATAGCCAAAAAATAATTTAATGTTTATAGACAATTATTAGCTAGAATCATTAACAAACACTCTACTGTTACGTGGTGTAGGACCTATTATCACCATTTTACAGAAAAGGAAACTGAGGCCCACTGTTCAAGGGTATAAGGTTATCATTTATTGAGCACTTAGCATAGTAACGCACTATGCTAAAGCTGTTTTACATACATCATTTTATTTAATCCTTTCAACAAACCTGTGATTCAGCTGCTTTCTCCAAGTTACATATAAGGAAATAAGAATCAGGCAATTAAATAACTTTCCCAAGATTACAGAAATACTAAGCGGCTGAGCAAGGATTCAAACCTACATTTATTGATTCCAAAGCCCACTCTTTATTATCACAATAGGACCGCTTTCAAGGTAACAGACAGCTCCCTCCTTCCTTCATTAGTCACAGCTTTAAATCTTTTTTTGAGGGAGAGGATAGGTTAACAGATAAGAGATGCTAAAAAAAGTTCTTTGTGCATTTGTTCTCAACTTGTCCTGGTTGAAATTTAATTACAGGCAGTCCCTATGACACACAAGCCCCCCCTGCAAGCAACCTACAGCTCTCTAACCCGATGAAGAGGCCAGAGCTCTAACCACACAGGCATGGCGTCCACTGCGAAGACCTTCTGTAAAGAGAGTCAGGAGCGCAGCTCGGGAAAGAGAGGGAAAAGTGCAACTAGCTTAGGGGAAAGAACCCTAAAAACTCACGCCTAGTTTCCCAATAGGTGCCCTGATCCTGTTACAAATTGTCCCCACTGGCCTACATCTTTTTCATTTTGTTTACTTTCTCTTACCCTATCTGAAATTTCACCAATGAAATAAATTTTCATTGGAGTTAACCAGCATTTTCTCTCAAAAAGCGAAAAACTCTGGAGAGACTATCAGTCATTAAGAAATTTGTGTAAATTTCTATCAGGATATCTTTCCTCTTTTAAGATGAGTTAAAAACACCTACCCTGAAAAGCTTAATTTGGAGGTGAGAAAGCAAGTGCATTTGAACTCAAAGCACTTAAACTTAAAAGGGATTCGGCAGGCCTGAGCTAGGTGCTGCCGTGAAGACGCAGGGCAGGGTGACCGCCCTAGGGAAGGCGTGGGGAGGATGCTCACAGAGAAGCTTGCCAAGGCAAACCTCTTACTTCAGAACTTTGCCCAGACTGGGATCTGGCCAATGGAAGAAAGACAACTTCTTTTCTCTATTGTCTTCTGAGAACACAAAACTCAAAATTTTCCCTTCAATATGCACCACAGGACATCTGAAACAAGCCTTTGTGATTGTTGTTAGTGCCATTGTGTCGACTCTGACTCCTAGTGACCATGTGGACAGCACAGCCGAACCCCGCCCAGCCTTTTTGCGCCATCCTCTCACCTTCCGGCGCTGTATCAGACAATGCTATTCACAGGTTTTCACGGCCAAGTTTTTCAGAAGTGAGTAGCCAGGTCCTTCTTCCTAGTCTGTCTAGTCTGGAAGCTTCACTGAAACCTGTCCACTGTGGGTGACCCTCCTGGCATTTGAAATACTGGTGGCAGAGCTTTCAGCAGCACAGCAACAGTATGACAACCAACAGACAGATGGTGTGGTTCCCTGACCAGGAAATGGTCCCGGGTGGTGGGGATGAGCGCACAGAATCCTAACCACTAGACCACCAGGGTTGGTGTTATTGTGATTACACTGATGAAATACTACTTTAAGTAGTTTCTATATGCAAAAGTGGGTTTCAATATCTATTGACCTAACCCATTGTTGAAGTGGAGATTAAAAGTACATTTTTAAGGGGGTGGCCCAGTGGCATAGTGCTTAACTTTGCACGTTCCACTCTGGTGGCCCAGGGTTCGTGGGTTCACATCACATCCCAGGTGTGGACCTAGCACAGCTCATCAAGCCATGCTGTGGTAGCATCCCACATAAAATGGAGGAAGATTGGCACAGATGTTAGCTCAGAACAATCTTCCTCAAGCAAACAAATAAAGTACATTCTTAAGTTACAGACATCCTTTTTGAAAAATAATTTGAATACAGTGAAAAGTATTACTCCTTCCTCCCCTAATTCTTCTATCAATCTGCATTACTTTCTTCAAGCTTGACAATTGCAGGGTGATTCAAAATAGCCGATTTTCCCATCTAACCTCAATGTTAGTATGTGCTGTAAATATTATCCCTAACTTTCAATTAACTATGTGAAAGTAAAGTTTTTAAGAATGAAGATATTAATATTAAGTAGCTAGGTATAAAATGTTCTTTTCCAACTGGTAACCACAAACAGAACAAAGTACCTATAAACAAAGTACAATTTGACTTTTTCATTAATATGTAATAGGCAACAGTTGATTTTTATAGAGCTATAACCTTCAATTAGTTAAAAATAAGACTATTACCTTCAGGCAGTAGCTCAAGTTTAAATTCCAGGCCTGGAGCATTCTACTACCCACAAAATGCCCTCTCTTGTTCACTGAAGTTCTTCCTTTTGGGGCACTAAATCATGATAGTTGTAACTTCATTTATGTGAAAGCTATAATTATATCTTCATAGCAGCATTTTTTCTGTAATGAGAAGGCAGGTATTCATATACATTTTACTTTCCTACACATAAAGAAAACTAGTTTTATTATAAAATAGCCATCACCAGCCTGGTATAACAGAACCATCAATTGACTCAGTTAAAGAGAACTAAAGCCTAGGACTGACTTTACAGATAACTGCTTGTGTCCTGGGGCAGGTGACTTAACCTCTCTGTGTTTGTTTCCTTATCTAAAGTTAGGTAGTTGGACTAAGGTTTTAACTCTCACATTCTATAACTACTACTGACACAAAGACCTCTACAGGAAATTACATTTTTCTCCATAAGAAAAATATTTACAAATAGGGCATCTTTCGGAGTCACGGAAGCTTGAACACAAAGGCCCCCCTCCCCACATCCCACTGCCTGTAAAATCCCAGCCTTGATTTGACAAGCTTATTTCTTAGGCAAGTAGAATTGGGATTGGAGAAAGAGAGCTGAAAAAAAGAAGAAAGTATTAAATATGTAGTCTAGACAGTTAATCATGATTGGACTTCAGAACATACACTAACGCATTAATTTTGCTTTCTAGAACGTTTCATATCACATTAAAAAAGTGGATGTTACCTTATATTAAAAGCAAAGATTAGGAAGAAAGTGTTAAATTAAAAATTTGCTGTTTTTATTTATAGAGGAAAGGGCTGTTTATTGTTGATACATAATGAATGCACGGCAGAGGGAGGAGACTGCTCGGGCTGTAGTGACCCACATCTCTGCGGATCATACGTGGTCTATTGCTGTTTTGATTTTGTTGAACAGCATTTCTGTGTGTTCAAAATTTGAGAGGTAATTCTCAGCTGCAATTTCTAAAATATTGTCTTAACATCTGATCATTTTGTTGAGTTTCTCCTACAGGCTTTTGTGTAGTAAAATGTATGCGTTAAAACCAGTGGTCCGAGAATAAATCACCAGACAGGATAACTCAAGGATGAAGCCCCTTGAAGTTTAGTCAGAGTTTCTCTTAATTCTACGTAGCTTGGTTACTGTCTCAAGATTTAAAGGATCTTGAAATTTACTCAATATCAGTGTCAGATCTTATTAACTACATTAAAAAATATTGCTCAGAAGTACTTTAGAAAATACAATTTCTCTCCTCTTTCAGGGTAGGTAAATGACATAATGTTCATTTTATGATGTATACAAAATTACTATGAATAAGTGATGTCAAAAATTAAATCAAGACTCCTAGTTCACAAATAATTTATAAAATAATTTATTTTTTTAAAGATGGGTTTTGAAAGTTGTAGTATGTTAAATCAACATCAAATTTTTAAATGTATGTAAATATACATAAACAATAACTCATTTTAACTTTTCAGTGAAAAAAATTTAACACTAGTGTTCACAATGTCTCTTTTATCTAAGGTTTGTCCTCCCTATAAACTTCCCTGTAATCTTGGTTCTACCCATTTCTTACCCTGTACACACATACCTCTTTTTACCTCTTTGCTCTTTGACACCTTCACAAATTATTCCCTATAATCCTCACAATGCCTATGAGGTAGATCTTATTATGTCGAGTCATAGGGAAGAAAACCAAAGCTGTCAAGTGAGTCGCTCAAGATCACAGACAGCATCAGAGCTCAGATTCAAGACTAAGCAGGGGGAAAAAAAAAAAAGAACAGTGAGGACTCCAAAGCCCATGCATAGTCTTTATACTATACCACACCATGACCTCATATACAGAAAAAAGAAACATATAATCAAGAAAAATATATTTTCCAAGCTGTGGTTCTCCAGCCAACAATGAGTCTTCATCGGGACCGTAGCAAACGAATCATGCAATCATGCAGGAGATGGTTAAGAACCAAAAGCTTGCAGTTAATCTTCTAAGTAAATTTAAGAAAAACAAAGTAAAAGCACTAACTACCCCAGGTATTGCACAGAGGCAACACCAAACATGACACGTCACTGTTGAAAAAATACCAAAGCCATCACACTGGGAGTACACTTATTCTGGAACACTTATTAACTAATTTTCCCTTAACTAAAGGTCACAGTCAAATGAAAAATGTATTTCAGTGAATTCAACATTTCTGCTTTGCAAATTGAAGATTCTTCTTCCTAAGCATTCAGGTTCTGTATCTTACTGATCATATTTTTCAATTCAAATTAAGATCAACCTGTATTGACTCCATCAGGTATTGTATTTTCTTATTTTGATAGATTTCAAATTAATGATAGCTAAAAATGTATTAGTCTACTGATTAACTAAACATTTTTAGAAGATATTTTAACCAGTGATATATTATCAATAATAAAAAATTATCTGAAAAAGAACTCAATTATTTGAAAATTTAGGTTCTAAGAATTTTAATTGAAGCAGTTTTACTGCTGTAACTCAAAAATCACTTAATGTTTAGAGGAGAATTTTAAAACTGTCAAATTTCTTTCCACTTCTCCAAAGTTTTAAAAATATGGATTAAACAGCAGGACTTCAATTTAAAAAGTGTTTCAAACTTCAGGTGGTCTAACTTACAGGACACACACAATTCTCACCATTGCAATGAATCACACGGTTAAATGACCACCGTTGCCATCTGCAAGCCCAGTCCTTTCCTAGAACTTCAGCACCTAGGCTTTCTCATTTTATTCTTCTAACCATGAGGCTGTTCTCCCTTATTCACATTGGCAAACCATCTACTTCAACTGACATCAAATGATGATGGTAATAACAGTTAACGTTTACTATGTGGCATTTAATTCTCACAGTTGAGGAAAGCGTGGCACAGAGAGGTTAACAAATTAGTAGCTGAGGCAGGATTCAAAGTTCCTGGGCCCGCATTCGGGTTCCAAGGCCTGCATTCTAAACAGGTGAGTCAACTGAGACCAGTCCTAGCTTCTCCGCCACGCCTCTCTAACAAAAGATTACCTTTCGCTTACAATTGTTTAAATCACTTCCCATATTCTAAGGTTGACTTAAATGTCGGGTGTCTACTAGTAATTTCAGTACATCTTCAGGCAAGGGAAAAGAGGACAGCTTCAGTCGTCTTCACCTGCACACAGCACGCCCCGCCTGATTCTAAACCACTGTCTCCTGGAGGCCCCCTCTGGGAGCTTTCCTGGAGAACGCCCTAAAAAGCGACTTTGAGATCCGGATAGTTCTCTCTCCGTCCATCCTCCCTCAGAAAGACAACTACGTTAGAGTAATCCTCGGGCACTGCGATGAAGGCACAGGCCTTTGGGTAACTTCAAGACAAAAAAAAAAATGTCGGAGCGCGGAGAGGGCGTGGGAGGACGCCCTTCCCGGTCTACACGTACACTAACACGGGCGCACACAGAGAAGAGCCCCCGAGAGCGCGGGCGCCGCCGCCCGGGGCCGTCCTTCCCGCGGCGGGGCTCCCCGGGCTCGGCTCCCCGCCTCGGCACGCCCAGCCTCCACCCGCGCCGCCGGCCTCGCCGGGGCCCGCGAGCGCGTCCCGGGCGGGGTGGGCCTCGCCATGGAGGGCCCCGCGAGGCCGCGAGGCGGGGCGCGGACGCCTCAGGGCCGGGCTGCGGCAGGGGCGGGGACGGCGGCGGCTCGGGGGCCGGCGGGTCGGGAGGTGACGGGAGGAGGACGCAGGAGAGGGAAGGGGGCTGGGAGGCAGCGTCCGGTCCGTCGGCGCTGACAGCTCTGCCAAACCTCCGACTCGCTCAGTCCCGCCGCCGCCGAGAGCCCTACAGGGCGAGCAGGGAAGTCCACCAAGTGCTGGAGCAGAGGGGAGAAAATTCAAAACGAGTCTACTCAACCTCGTCTTGGCTCCGAGGCCCCGCCATGGAGACCAGCACCATGCGCAGGCGCACCACTCCGAGAGCGCGCAGCGCAGGGCCAGGAGAAACGTCCACTGTCGGCCACCGTCCTCGGTTGCCTTTCAGATTCGTTCTGTGTTCTGTATTCCAGACCCTAACCTGCATCTAAAGCGTAGAGGGCGGGGCGAGAACCCACGAAAAATCTTGACGGAGTGATGTTCTGATTGGGAGTATGCGAGAGAAAATAAACCCAGAAAGCCTTTAGTAAATGAAAGATGAAGGCAGAGAAAATATAATAGATATTGGGCTGGAGTCTGGAAGGTTTAATGCAAATTAGATATCCCGAGGGCGGCGCGGCAAAAAGACTACGATTCCCATGGTGACAGCGTCTGAGAAGCGCTGCTTTCTGGGGGTTGTAGTATCTAGGAGCTGAATGTGAAGTGATCGGGTCTAAAGACAGCTTCTTAAAATTTAAAAAAAGAGAGAGAGAGAAGCAGATTTGAACTGGGCCTTTCTGTTTCTTCATAATCCATCACAGGCCTAAATATATTAAAAGAAATCCAAAAAGATTAAGGGGACACGTCGCCTTTAAGGCTGTGCCGTACTAATCGATGATTCCTCGATCTGGGATAGGTAGTTGATGTGTGTGGGCTGGTCCTCTGAGGCGGCGCAGCCTCGTGGTGCCTTCTTGCTGAGGAGCCCCGAGGAAAGGAAGCGGGGCCCGGTCTTGGACGGCAGCCTCTCGCTGCCCTGTGCCGTCTACTGTTGAGCTGCCTCCTCTTGCAGTCCTCAGAGACCAGAGCGCCGGTCGTCCGACTGTTGCCCCGCGCGCATCCGCAGGCAAGTCTCGTGTGTGCTCCCCGCCATGGCTCAGCTCCAGACACGCTTCTTCACTGACAACAAGAAGTAAGTAAGCCGCCTCCCCTTCTCTCCCGCCTCCCTCCTCCCTGGGATCCTTTCCAAGGACTCCTTCGGTATGACCTTGTGGATCCCTGTTTTTCTTTGCCGTCATGTCACTCGCCCACCCCACCCCATTTTTTGCTGGGCTCCTCGCTTGAGTGCGTTTTCTGCTCGAGTGGAGGCGGGACCTTAGAGCATTTCTCAGGGACCGACCTCTGAGATCATCTCTTTTCTGCCTAGCTTCTCAGGCTCTATATAATTTGAACTGTGAGTGCAGAGGGCCTGAAGGGCTTCAGGTTTGCTTCCAGAATGGAGTACATTATGTAATGTAACAATGAACAATGCACCAAGTCGTTACAGGCTGTCTGCTAGTGGAGTTTCACAGTTTCTGGCGACACAACTTTTTCTTTTAGGTAGGTGATAGACAATGCTTTTCTAAACCAGGTTGGAAAGCGGAACTCTGAATAGGAGGTTGGTAGAATTCGTTTTTGATAGAAGTGTGAAGTCAATTCAGTTACAGATTTGTGTATTTGTATACATACATATACACGTATGCCTTTGTGTGTATATATATATACACCGCTGTGTGTGTGTAAACATACATGTATATATAAACATTTTACCAGTGGTCCCCAGGTCTGTAGCATTTGTTTGAAACCTAATTATCTTCTGCCTTGTGGTGTATATTACCGTATTAACTTTTCTTTGTGTTTGCCTGGTCTCTTCAACTATATTGTAAAGCTCTTAATGGTAGGCACTATGTATTAAGTTTCTTAGATTGACTGAGTCAGCAAATGTTTGTCAAATTCTTCTGGTACTGATAATAATAAAGATTTGTTTTATTAACAAGGTTATGTCAGCTATAAGCTCGAAAACGCCCACTTCAATTAAGATTATATCTTTGTGTTTATAGCTTTATGAGTCGACCTCATTTTACTGAACAAAATAGTAAATGAAAGAAAGAACCAAAATTTTTAATTTCTAGGTTTCATTATCTTTTGGGGAACCTAAATAACTGCTAACTTTCTTTGGCATGAGAAATATGTAACTACAGCCTTACTACTCGAAGTGTAGTTTAGGACAGGCAGCATCAGCATCACTGGGGAGATTGTTAGAAAAAAGCAGAAATCCTGGACTCCACCCCAGACCTGCTGATCTGGAATCTACATTTTAACAAGAACTGAAACACCCCTCACACCCCCATTGTAGCAAAAAGAGAAACTTTTCCATTCTCTGCAGATACAGCCTTAATTCAGGCCTTATGGAGACTTTTTTTATTACAACTTTATTGAGATGTAATTAACATACAATAGAATTCACACATTTGAAGTGTTCAATTCAGTGTTTTTTAGCATATTTGCAGAATTATGCAACCATCACTACAGTCAATTTTAGAACATTATTCATTCCCCTTTAGCTCTTACCTGTCCCCAATCCTTCCACTACCCCCAACCCTGGGCAACCATTAATCTACTTTCTGTTTCTGTAGATTTGTCTGTTCTGCACATTTCATATAAACGGAATTATATAATATGTGGTCTTTTGTAACTGGCTTCTTTCACTTAGTATAATTTTCAGGGTTTGTCTGTGTTATAATATGTATCAGTACTGCATTTCTTTTTATGGCCAAATAATATTAACATTGTATGGATATACCACATTTTTTTCCATTGTTTAGTTGGTGGATATTTGGGTTGTTTCCACCTTTGGCTATTATGAATAACGGTGATGTGAACGTTTGTGTACAAGTTTTTGTGTGGACATATATTTTCATTTCTCTTGGGTATATAATTAGGAGTGGAGTTGCTAGGTCAAACAGTAATTCTATGTTTAACTATTTGAGGAATTGCCAGATTTTTCCCAAGCAACTGCAACATTTTACATTCCCACCAGCAATGACTAAGGGTTTATCTACATCCTCACCAACACTTATTATCTGTCTTTGTTATTATAGCCATCCTAGTGTGTGTGGAGTGATAGCTCAGTGTGGTTTGATTTGCATTGCCTTGATTACTAATGATGTTGAGCATCTTTTCATGTGTCTGTTGGCCATTTGTATATCTTCTCTTGAGAAATATCTATTTTAATCCTTTGCCCCTTTTTTAAATTGGGTTGCCTTTTTATTATTGAGTTGTAAGTGTTATTTATGTATTCTAGAATCAAGTTCCTTATCAGATGCATGATTTGCAAATATTTTCTGCCATTCTCTCTTACAAGAGTTTCCTGGTCTCTTCTTTCTGTCATGTGTTCTTCTAATCCAGCCTCTGCAGTGCTGTCGAGAAAGATCTAATGATCTTCCCTAATGATGTTATTCCTTAACTCCGACTACTACAGTGATTCCTCATTACCCAGGGAAAGAAAGAAATGCTTCTTCACACAGTATATAAACTACTCCGTGCACATCTCTTTAGCCTTATCTTTGGTCACTACCTAGAGCAAAATTGGACTTTCTGGAACAGGCTGGCTGGGCAGTGTAATAACTCTCAGTTATTGTTTTGCTGCTTGCCCCACTTTCCCGCACCCTTTTTCCTGTCCACCCACCTTTCACCTGGCAAAAACTCGCTTTTCTAGATAGAGCTGAAGGCCCTGCTCTTCTATCCTCCTTTTCTCTGGTTGAAATGACCTAATACTTTGTTCTCCCAGTTTACTTGTCACTTGTAACATTGTTCTTAAAAAGTCTGATTGTAGTTGATTACCAGACTTTAACTCTTTGTGAGAACAGAGACCATATCTTAATTCGTTTTTGTTAACCCCATGTAGCAAGATATCTGGTATGTATTAGATACTCAGTAAATGTTTGTTTAGTGAGTAAATGGACATTTCTTAAAATATCTGTAGACTTGATCTTGATGTATCGTTTCCTTTTTATAGATATGCGGTAGATGATGTCCCCTTCTCAATTCCTGCAGCCTCTGAAATTGCTGACCTTAGTAACATCATCAATAAATTACTGGAGGCCAAAAATGGTGGGTATACATGCTCTGAGAAGTTACGAAAGGGCACAGTGCCACTAACTACACTAAAATATATCACATTTTAATTTTATTTACATTTTTTTGGCTTTATTTTATAATACTACATGCATTTTATAACGGTAAAATTTATGAATTATATGGGTTTCCCTGCTACATGATACTCTGAAAAATGCTTTAAAATAAAAGTTTTCAGAAAAAAATATTACAGTTTAATCTGCTTTTAAGGGAACATGGAGATAAGGTGGTTGAGATTTAGGAATAAAGATGTTGATATAATAGTCGTGATGTAGAGGTCATCAAGACATTGGGATTGTGCTAGAGAGGGCTGGGCTGGGTAGGCATGAACGAACATCTTGGTTCTTGGGCCTCACTTGCTCTACTTCTGCAAGGCAAAACGACATTATCAGTATTTGAGTATTTTGGGTAATAACAGATGCCAAAATTAATAGTGGTATTTTTTTTTTAAGTATTTAGAATTCATAAGACAATTAATGGATAAAGCAAACATTTATAAACATGCAAGAGTATCAAGTAAAACATTTATAAAGGTATAAATATTAAACATATGTATTGTACGAGTATAAATTATTAGCGCATAAAATTAATATGAACAATGTCTGCAGAAATATTGATTAAACAAGATTGGCCATAAGTCGATAATTGTTAAAGTTGGGTGATAGGTGTATGAAGGTTTATTATATTATTCTCTACTTCTGCCTCTGTTTTAAATTTCCTGTAATAAGATGTTTTTAAAAAACTAATGAAACCATACATAAAATAGAAGATTTAAACATGAAAAATTGAAAATAGCATAAAGTGTGATGTTTAAAAGAAAATTTGTCCATGGAATCACCATTTAGAGGCAAGCATATTTTCACACAGGTGTTTCTGACACTTCAAGGCTCTTTTGATTCTACCCTAGTAGGAGGAATGGGGAGGTGAGAGTTAGAAACATTGCCTAATATTTTCCCTTCATCTTCACATAATCCCGTAACTTTTTTAAGTTTGAGATGATGTTTTTGAACATCTGTTTTGGGAGGGGCAGGGTCTGTAATCTTTTCATTGCTAGCAAGCGGTAGTTCTTGATTCAGAGGTATTCTGATAGCATTTCCTATCAGTCCTTGTCTTTACTTTCATCAGGAATGTATGGAGATTCTGATGCATAGTTACTTTTCTAAATTTGCTGGAAAAGTCTTTGAATTAGAAGAAGAATTATTTTTGCAATAGAGGCTTTGCAATAGCAGTATATAGTTGTTTGTTGTTGCCCAAATAGTTGAATATTTTTCTAATCTTGTAGATAAACATTGGTTTGTCTTTTTGTATAAATTAAATAACTGAGTCATTGCTCTTGAGTTGAAGATGCAAATGATTCAGATTTCAGATTTTTAAAAGTAACAATCTAAATGGTCAACGAGGGAATTCTTTCAGAAGGATTATATCTAATAAATGCAGAAAGAGTGAAACATTTTCAGCATTTTGTAACTAAATTAAGTAATGGATTTAAGTAGTGATTATCAATAGCTGCTAAAACCATTAATTAGGTAAAAGGCTGACAGAGAACATTATGATGGGTGGGATCAGACTGACATCATCTGAGCCCAGAGGTGGATCTTAAAATCATAAAAAAGACACAACAGGATACTATGCTTCCTGTGATGCAGTAGGAAATGCACAATACTGTGTGTAAATATTCTTGCCTCCTTGCCCAAAAAAAAGCACACTTGAAATCTAATCTAGTGTTTAGGTCTGCCTAGTATACAGGATGTACAGGTGGTAGAGGAACATGTTAGAGGACACCTTGGAGTTGGAATCAACCAAACCCAGAATGTAAGAAATATTACAAGACAGATGTCCCAGTTTCTTCAACAAATAAACGGCAAGGGAAGAAAAGGAGGAGAAACAGTTAAAGATTAAATAAAACGTATTAATCAAATATAATGTGTGGATTTTGGGTGCTGGTTCTAAAAAGCTCACTGTAAAAAGACACTTGTGAATTGAGGAAATATGAACATAGGCTATTTGATATTAAAAGGAATAATTGTTAAATTTTTTAGCATTGTGACTTTTTAAAAATTCCTTATAGTTTAGAGATACATACTAAAGCATTTACAGATGAAAAGATGTGATTTCTGAGGTTTGCCTTAAAATGAACCAGTAGAGGAATGGACAGAGGAGTATAGATGAGTGTCCATGAGTTGGTAATTGTCAGTGTGTGGTGGAGATGGGGATTCATTTTGTTATGTCTCCTGTGGTATATATTTGAACGTTTTCATAGAATAAAAAGTTTTTTGAAAAATTAGACGAAAAATAACAATAAAGAAATTATATCAACAGAACAAAGTATTTCTGTTCTTAAAAATCACATAGTATGGGGGGCTGGCCCGGTGGCATAGTGGTTGGGTTTGTGCTCTGCTTCAGCAGCCTGGGGTTCGCTGGTTTGGATCCTGGGTGTGGGCTTATGCACTGCTTATCAAGCCATGCTGCGGCAGGCATCCCACATATAAAATAGAGGAAGATGGGTGCAGATGTTAGCTCAGGGCCAATCTTCCTCAGCAAAAAGAGGAGGATTGGCAGAGGATGTTAGCTCAGGGCTAATCTTCACCAAAAAAGAAAAAAGAAAGAAAGAAAATCACATAGTATATACACTGGAATACATGGCCTGATTGTCATGGAGAAATTCTGGAGAAACTCAGAGGCCACACTGGAATAACAGGTCCCTGTTTGTTTTGAGGTGTCTCGTGTACCTCTGCCAATCCACTTCATGTCCTAAGAGTGATAATTTTATCATGTATTTTCTTTAGAGTTCCACAAACATGTGGAGTTTGATTTCCTCATCAAGGGCCAGTTTCTGCGAATGCCCTTGGTCAAACACATGGAACTGGAAAACATCTCATCAGTAAGTTCAGTGCTCACCTGCTCTTTTTTCCTTACAGTATTATCAGATAATGTAGGTAACTCCGGTTAGAATCAGCATGAATCTACAGCAACCAAGATCTTTTTGATTATTGGTTTTTCCTAGAAATTTGAGCTTCAGTTTCTATATTAAATTTTGAAATCCCCTTTTTTCTTCTGAGAGTGTATTTAAGAAATGCAGATGAATGAATATGGAAAGATACCTTCATATTTGTGGAAGAATGATCAAGAAAGGGCATAGCAAATATATGTTTACTACTAATAAAGGTGTACAAAATGATTGTGCACATATAAAAACTTACAGGTGAGGTTATTGTGATTTATAGTGACTTCTCCCCTTCCTCTAATCTCCAAACTGCTTTTAATATTGCTTCTATAATTTAAAATGCAATTTATAATTGCTTTTATAATTTGGGGGGTAATTTTTAGAACTGTGGTAAAATATACAGAAAATTTACTATTTTAACCATTTTTAAATGTACAAGTCAGTGTCATTAAGTACATTCACAGTATTATGCAGCCATTATAACTCCATTTTCAGAACTTTTTCATCATCTTAAAGAGAAGCTCTATACCCATTAAACAAATACGCTTTTATGATTTTATAATTTAAAGTTTCTTATATTCTTTTTTCTACTTTTAGCATAAATTTTCCAAGGTCATTAGTATTTCTTTATATTACTCTTAGCATACTGTTAGGTCAAATAAAGGTTTTCACTGTTTGCGTGGCTCCACATTGTCTGGTTGTGAAGGGGACTTAGGTGAAGGAGCTGTCTTAAATGGGGTGTGTTATCTTCATAATGTGCCATCTTAAAACTGCACCCCCTGATGGGTGTCTGGTTTCTCTCTGTGACCAGGAAGAGGTTGTGGAACTGGAATACGTGGAGAAGTACACCGCACCTCAGCCCGAGCAGTGCTTGCTGCACGATGACTGGATCAGTTCCATCAGAGGGGCGGAGGAATGGTATTGCCAGATGAGCATTCTCGTGTCTGATTCCTTATGCCACCGCATCACTCTTTTTAAGTGCATGATGTGCATGTTTGTCTCTGATTCTCTGTTCTTTTGTAAAAGTGATTTTGTGATAGACGTATCAGTGACCATGCCAAAGATCTTTACGTTCAATATAGTCAAGAAGAAACATATGTATTAATAGGTTTTCTTTTCTGTCTCAAGATGTTATAGTGACATATGTCTTTGGAATAAGTCTAGTGTCTTAGGGTATTTATTTGATTGAGCATGTTGCTTTTAAAAACTAGGTTATAGTTTGTTTCATAGCCGGAAAAAAACCCTTTTATAGCCACAGATTTCCTGGCCTACTACCATGAAGATGCAGATTGTGCTATTTTAGGGCTAAAAGAGGCAGACTGGGATCAAGAAGGTATGGATGGCTCAGAGCAAACCCCCACTGGCCTTGCTTGTAGAACAGCACCTCAAGAGTGGATCATAGTAGGAGCTTACTTTCAAAGAATGTCTCCCTGGAGTTATTACCCAAAGTTATGTTTTTACTGGTTTTACTTTTTCTTTAAGTGGTTTTACTGTTTTTCTATTTAATGGTTTTCACTGGTTAAATACAAAGGACTATTAACGCTTTACAAGCAATTTGCTTAGCTTCCCTGAGAGTTGTAGTGTTTACAACGATAGTAAAAATGAGATCTAGGGTTTGTTGGTTATGTTTTTATTTTTAGGAGGTCAGGAAAAGCCAAATGTAAAATCTTCTGATCTATTCTAGTGTGTTTTGAAATCTTAATCTTCGTATTAAAGAAGAGTTTGAAAGAATAATCCTCAAGAAATTGCCTTAGAAATACAATCAATTTTAGGGTTTGAAAAAGCTGCTTTTTGTATTTCATAGGATTTTTTTCTCCTCATAGGATCCTGACTGGTTCTTATGATAAGACTTCTCGGATCTGGTCCTTGGAAGGAAAGTCAATAATGACAATTGTGGGACATACAGATGTTGTAAAAGATGTGGCCTGGGTGAAAAAAGGTGGGACTCTTTGCCTGAACTAAGAGGGTTGTGGATAGGGAATTGGCAATAAGCATTTTCAGTGCTGGGGCAGAATGGGGACAGGGTAGGAAATGTCTCATGTCTCAGTTATTATGAGGTCTTTCAAAAATATAGAGTTCAAGGGGCCAGCCCAGTTTCGCAGTGGTTATTTTTACGTGCTCCGCTTCAGTGGCCTGGGGTTAGTAGGTTCAGGTACTGGGCATGGACCTAGCACCACTCATCAAGCCATGCTGTGGTGGCATCCCACATAAAATAGAGGAAGACTGGCACAGATGTTATAACGCTCAGCACCAATCTTCCTCAGACCTGCAAAATATATATATAGTGTTCAAGAACAAGAGGTTTATATAAAAAATTGAATAAATTAGGGAAAGTGAGTCCTTCCTAAAATTATATCAGATAATATACATTTTTAAGTTAATATTGAGTGTGTGAAACTCACACAGTATAGTACTTTTCTAGTATTTTTGAAGATTGTTCCCTTTACACTGTAAGTTAACTTCGGTTTCCAAGCCGCCTATGTGAGCTCTTTTATCTTTTTAACGTCTTTCTCAACAACAACAAAAAATTCAGTTCTTTGGTTTCAGAACATGATGTATTTTAACTGTTCTTCTGATTTGTTTCTGATTGTGTTCTCCTCTTCAGACAGTTTGTCTTGCCTGCTGCTCAGTGCCTCCATGGACCAGACTGTCCTCCTGTGGGAGTGGAATGTGGAGAGAAACAGTGTGAAAGCCCTGCACTGCTGCAGGGGTCATGCTGGGAGTGTGGACTCCATCGCCGTCGACAGCACAGGGACCAAAGTGAGTAGCTGTTGTCTCATAGGACTCTGTCGAATGAGAATTTGAGCTTACGCAAAAGGTTTTTTCTCCACGTATTCATTGTGATTGGCCTATTTTCATATCAGTTGTTTCAAACGAAAAGTAAAGACTCATACAATCAGAGATGCAAAGATTCACTTCCTCAGCCTGGGTATCTCTGGTTTTGAACTTTATGTAAATTACAGAAATTTTTAAAAATCACATAAACAAGCAATTTCTTTTCCCTTCTTAAGTCATAGTGATTGACATTTTCAATCTTTCAGCTACTCACAGTGCTGTCATCAGCTGAAGCGTATAGTTGATTGTCTAAGCCTTAGCACACACTAAGGTTAGTGTCAGTAGAGGTTGTTTTACTATCATTGCTGATTTACTCTTTGTCACGACGAGGTGGCAGAAGTTAGTTAAAAGGAAGCAAACCTGAAGACAACACTGTATTGACTCTTGAGGGCTTACAAACTCTCTCACCATTTGACAGTTCCCTAAACCACACTGAAGTATTCTGGATTTAAGAGTGCTTCTTCGGCGTTTCTATGCCAGTTTGCCAGAACAGAGGACATTTGATGTATTCAAAGGAAAAGAGTTATGATTATTCATATTGAGCCATGAAGAAGATTTCCATGTTGTTGAGTCCAAACTTAAGTGAATTCACTGTACCCTGTTTTTTGGCTACGAGAGACAGAAGCTCCTCTTGAACTTATTCAGCTTCAAAGATTGTGAGATCCAAGGAAGGAGTGGACAGTCACACCACCAGCAGGGTGATGAGGCAGTGGGGTCTCAGGACCCAGTGGAGTGGAGGCTTGAACGTGGCCGTCACACCCTTCCCTCTCCTGTTTCCCCAGGCTGACTTTTGTTCTCTCTCGCCTCAAACTGGCTCTCTCCACATGGCAATGAAACCTGGCCTTCACTAATTGCAGATTTTACGTCCTGTGTCATCTGTCCCTGGAGAAAGACTAACTTCACCTCCCAGGAACAGAAGTTTTCAAAAAAGGTCCTGAAGGAGGAAGAGACCTATTGGCACAGTGTGGTCACTTGCCCACCCTGATCTGAGCAGCCGTGGCCAGGGCACAGAGCCGTGTAAGAATGGCAGCTTCCTCAACTGCCAGGAGATAGAGGGTGCAACCTCCAGGAGACTAGGAAGACAGGCAGATGCTATCACAGTAGTAAGGATTTCAGAGCAAAGGAAAGGTTTTAAGTTAAATAGCAGAAAAAATAAGGCAAATAATATGATGGATTATATTACATACTCGTTTTCCCTTCATATTATTCTGTTTAGTTTTGCAGCGGCTCCTGGGATAAGATGCTAAAGATCTGGTCTACAGGTAAATTAAATATTTCTTTTGCTTTGACTTATTAATGATATTTCAAGAATTTTGCTGGAAGAGGAGTTTTTAACCCATATTTTGCCAGAGCTTTTTATGATACAAATAAAGAAGCATAGTATAGAGAAAAATTAGTGTATTTCTTTGTGTTTCAAAATGTTTTTCTATCCCACCACCCCTTATTTACTGGACAATGTCACTGAATTGCCACAAGTATCAATAACATGTTTGGTGCAATGGGACATAACTACCTTAGTTCTCAGAGTTCCCTTATTCAGGAACTTGGAAATAAACAAAAATACCTTCTGAGTCATTTTGATATACTTTACTGTTAGAGAAATTTCTTAGTTAAGCTGATTTACTTAAAAAAAAACCTTAATACAGTTTTACCAAACTTAACTTTTTTACTTTGAAAACATAAATTAAAAGGAACAACTAAAGGAGGAGGAGGGAGGAGTCTTAGAAGAAGGTGCCTTGATAGTGCTAAGAAGACGCCGACAGTAGAAAAGGGGGAAAAAACCCACAGACATTTAAACTTTAAGAAATGGTGGTCTAAAACAGTGCACAGGTAGACAGATCAGAAGGCTTCTGTTACTTCTGAGGGAATTGCCGTATTACAGTATAATACCCTAAATACAATTCACAAAGTAGAGTTGGGGGATCAAGAAAAGCTTAAACAGTTTTAAATAATTATGCGTAAGATGGCAGGATATATATAATCCATTTTAGTAGATTTTCCACAAATGCTTAAAGCAAACAGTTTTGAGGGAGAAAGTGGTTTGTTTAGAAATTTTTCCTTTTGTGGAATATTTTATTCTTTGATAGCACTGGGTAAATGAGATATTGTATATGATTAGTTGTTACCCTAAAGGCATTTATAGGGAGAAAGCAGATAATATTTATAAAATAGTTAAAAACATTAAAATCTATGGTTTTCCATCTGGGTTTGGTATCTAGCTAAATGATATATCACAAAGATTTTTTTAAAAAGTCAAAAAGTGGAGCTGGCCTGGTGGTGTAGTGGTTAAAGTTTGAGCGCTCTGCTGCAGTGGCCTGGGGTTCATGGGTTCAGATCCTGGGTGCAGACTTACACTCTGCTCATCAAGCCATGCTGTGGTGCTGTCCCACACACAAAATAGAGGAAGATTGATTGGCACAGTTGTTAGCTCAGCTTGAGGAAGATTGGCCACAGATGTTAGCCCAGGGCCAACTTCCTCACCAAAACAAAACAGTCAAAAAGTAACTATAAAACATCTGATTCATTGTTAGAAAAGTTAAATAATCAAGAAGAATAAACATGACTGGAATGTGTGTTTGTTTACCTTGTCATTCCCTTCTTCATAATAATAGATTATTATCTCCTACAACTAATAGAATATTCATAGATGTGGTAAAGTGATGAGTATTCATGATGATGATCTTAAAGACATAGCAAGATATCAAACTGGTTAGGTTTTAGGGTTTTAGTGTACTTTATTTTTTGCTTTGTCTTTTTGGAAGATTGGTAACCCAGGTATTATTTTATATATAATTTTCTATGAACCAAAATAAGGAGCAATATGATTCCCTAACCAGTTGAGATAACATAGAGAAAGTATATACCCAGAAATGTTGTAAGAATTCTTTGAGACTGTTTGCAATTAATATTTACCATAAATTTTAAAAATATCAACTCTGACTCTCTGTGGTACAGTCCCTACAGATGAAGAAGATGAAATGGAGGAATCCACAAATCGACCCCGAAAGAAACAGAAGACGGAGCAGTTGGGACTAACGAGGGTAAGTATTTGTGAGAACTGACTATACTTGGCTTAGGTCTGTATTAACAAATATCTGGTAATTTAATGTAATCTTTCCTATTTAAATTTCCTTTTGTCTTGCTTTGCTGCTTCAACCATAATTAGGCTTTCTTTCAGCAGATTTGTAAATTTTTCTTATAGATACTCTATTATGCTACATTTATCTGTCATTGAATGTAGTAGCTTCGAGCCGGCTTACAGATCAATAGGTTGATTATTTAGCTGTTATTTGATCTCATGGTGCATTTTGGAGCAGGATCTTTTAATTGTTAAAGTTTGCACTAAATTTAAGTGAAGCATCTCATTACCTGACGATTTAATAATATTGTTTCATACACTGAGGATATAATTCTTATTAAGGATGCTAGTTATATCTCCTAAATCACTAGAAACCGAGAGTTTAATTTGGGTTTTGATTCTATCATTTAGCTCTTAGATCCAATTAAATTGAACTCAGAAAGTTCATCCAGAGTCTTATTTGTTCTGCTTTGTTAGGAAGATATTTGTCATAATAAGGTCTGACCTGTCTTAATGTCTTACTGAGAAGGACAATACTGAGGTTTAGGAAAACATAATCTTCATTCATTTTCTAACAGCTGTAATGAATGTGCAGTAAATCAAGGCCACATTTGCACATTATTTCTTGTAGTCACCAATAACAAGATATAAAAATTGTTGAAAATGAGGAATAAAGTATGATCATAAATAATTCATCAAACTCACATCAAATGCAATTAACAGTAGCACTTACTGGTTCCAACTGGAAGTAATGATTTAAAGTTTCTTAATACATTTAAATATTGACTGCTGAATTGCAAGAGGAGTGATCTGGCAGCAACTCAGCTTCCTTATCACTTAATCTGGTAGGACAAATGAAAGCTGTAAATGCCTTACCAACTGGGTGTTGTGCCAGTGGTAATTTGCTGATGCATATCCCTGATCAACCTCCAAAGAATATATCTGAGTAGAAAAGATTTCTTGAATTATAAAAATTCTTTACTCAGAAGGTAACTTTTTTTACCTTTCTTTTAATTTGAAGTTTGGCATACATATGTTAAGTGTACAGCTCAATGATTCTTTACAATCGTGTATACCCAAGTAATCACTATCCAAATCAAAACACTGAGAATTAGCAACAGCCTTGAAGACTCCCGCTAGCCTCCCTCACAATCAGTAACCCCCAGAAGTAATCACTCTTATGACTTATACCATCTTAGATTAGTTTCACCTATTTTCAACTTCATATCTGTGAGATTTCATGCTACTGCATGTAATGATCTTTAATATAAAGCATTCCATTGCATGAATATACCAGAATTTATCTTCTCTTCTTCTGTTGGACATTTAGGTTGTTCCTAGTTTTGGCCACCATAAAGACAGTTGCTAAGAAAGTTCTTAGGTGCATAAGCAGTGATTTCTGCATATATAGAATTGCAGAAGTACAATTGGCTGAGTCATAGGGAATGCACATGGTCAGCTTTCTGGATATTAGATACTGCCAGAAAGTTTTCCAAAATGGTTATACGAGTTTTTGGTCCCACTGACAGTGTATGAGAGTCAAGGTTACATCCTTACAAGCACGTGATATGGTCAATTTTTTAAGACCATAACTGATTTTATTTTACCACATAAACGTATGTTTGCATTTACTTACTGTTGAAAAGTGTATCATTTTGTCGATTTCTGGTGGTGTGTAGTGGAATTTAAGTCCTCGCCCTTTGATATCTAATTATGAAGTGCCTGTTCATGTTTTTAGCCCATTTTTTTTAAGTGTGTTGCCTATCTTTTTTTAATTGATTTACTTTGTACGAGTATTTTTAGGTGTGTACTTTTTATAAGCTCACTTCCATTGTTCATTTTATTTGAGAGAAAAAATAATATGTTCATTTTCTTGTTTAGGTTTTTATAGGCTGTAAATTCATGCATTCATAAATTATTAACTGGAGTTATGCTGGCAATCCTTGAAGTGCTATTTAAAGTGAAAAATTGTGCTGCAATGGAACAAGTTGGATTTTTAAGACCAAAATGATAAAACAAATATCAAAAATAGTTATCTTTTCTCTGAGTTTCTTTCTAGTACCTTACTTGAATTAATATGACTAATGCTACCAGTCAGTTAATTTGCTTGTCATTTGTTTCATATGTCAACATATAGTAAGGTTTTTTCCTCGTTTCTTTCAAAATTGCTTTTTCCCTCCAGTACTATTCTACTGGAGTTTGTTTGTAGTAACGGTGTCAAAGTTGACTTTTCTACCTTTTTTAAAAGAAATTTACATATAGGAAAATTCGCTTTTTGGTGAATAGCTTTGAGTGTTGATAAATGTGTAGAGCGTGTGACCACGACGTAATCGGGACATAGAGCAGTCCATCACCCCCTGAAACTCGTGGCCCATTCGTAGTCCCCCTTCCCCGCTGCTTCTCGCCTGACAACCACTGCTCTGTTCTCTGTTCCTGTAATTTTTCTTTTTCCAGAATATTGTATAAGTGGAATCACACAGTATGTAGCCTTTTACATCAAGCTCTTTTTCACATAGCACAATGCATTTGAGATTCACACCCCCCTCGTTTGTTTTTTTTCCCCCAGAAAAGAAAAGATTCATCTAGGTTAATGGGATCATGGTTTGTTCCTCTTAAATGCTGAGTAGTATTCTGTTGCGTGGATATACAATGGTTGGTTTAATCGTTCACAAGTTGAAGGATATTTGGGTTGTTTCCAGTTCGACAGTTATGAATAAAACTGCTGTCACCCTTTGTGGACAGAATTTTGTGTGAATCAAAGTTTTCATTTTTCTTGGGTAAACATCTAGAAATGGGCTTGCTTATTGCTGTAAGTTTGCCTGTGGATCTTGCCATGCCGAATCCTCTCCTGGAGCCTCTGATGGATTACCTTTATGTTCCTTGCTGTTCATTCTCTTTCGGGTCACAGAGCGGTGGTTCTGTCCCTCACTCGGCTGTCAGGTTCCTTTACTTCTTTGAGGAAAATTTTAGAGGTGGAAGAGAGACCTTACGGCTCATTTGGTCCAGGAATTGGCAAACTATAGCCCAACAGCCGATTTGGCTCTGGCCTGTTTTTGTACTACAGAGAGCTAGGAATGATTTTGACGTTTTCAAGAAGTTTTAAAAACAAGAAAGAATATGCAACAGAGACTGTATTTGGCCTGGAAAAGCTAAAAAATTTACTTTCTGGACCTTTACTGAAAAACTTTGCTAATCTCTGATCTAGCATACCCCCCTCATATTACAGATGAGGTAATACTATTTAAGGAGGTTAAATGTAACAAAGTTACAAAAGTAGATTAACTGTCTCCCATTTCAGAATTCTTTCCTTCTGTCTTTCATATGTTCCTTATATTTCAGACAGACACTATACCTAGTTTGGGGATTTTAATTTGAGAAAGACATTAGAGATTTTGGAGTACTGACAGATGAGCCATGGACATTATTTAAAGATTAGATGCTGAGGAAATGAAGTGGCGAGAATAACCTATTGAGATTAGTTTACCAGGAGGAGTCATCTAGAAAATGGCAGCACCTTTGATTGAAACTGAGATCTTCTGACCCAGAGCTTTTTTCTGCTAACTTCTACACATAACGTGTTTGTCAAGGGGGAGAATTAAGTTAGTGTTAATATTAATACTCCTCAAAATGACAAGCGGAACAGATGGGGAAGCAGCAGAGCACAGTGGGAAGACGATGAACTTTGGAGTAGTATGTGGGTTTAAACTTAAATCTGCCACTTACAGCGGTATGACCTTGAGCACGTTATCTTTCTCAGCTTCAGTGTCTTCCTCTATAAAATAAAAACGAAATATCTATCTTGAGGATTATTGTAAAGAAGAAATTAGGCATGATATGAAAGCTAAAGCACCTGACAAAACATCTCGCATATGGGCTTCAGAAGTTATAACTGCTATTATTGTCTTAATTATTCTAAACGGAAAATGCTTTCCCTTTTGGGTATCTTTCATTTCTAGACTCCCATTGTGACCCTCTCTGGCCACAAGGAAGCGATTTCCTCCGTCCTGTGGTCAGATGCTGAAGAAATCTGCAGTGCATCTTGGGACCACACAATTAGAGTGTGGGACGCCGAGTCAGGCAGTCTTAAATCAACTTTGGTAAGAGTGATAAATTCAGTAGTTCTCTGATTAACTTTGAGCTTTTAAGTGATAAACTTCTAGAGATAATTACTTTTAGCCCAGCATGGTTAAATGTTCTTTCCTTTTTGTTTTTGCAGACAGGAAATAAAGTGTTTAATTGTATCTCCTATTCTCCACTTTGTAAACGTTTAGCATCTGGGAGCACAGATAGGCATATCAGACTGTGGGATCCCCGAACGAAAGGTGAGTTGTGTGAAGCACTGGAGGAAAACTATGTGTAAATAGTATCAATTTCTTTTCTCACTAGAGATTTGTATAAAAAGATAATTTTCTACAAATTTTTTGGGGGGTTTGTTCTGCCTACTCCTCTTTTCTAAAATTCAATAATGGTTCATCTCGTTTGCTTTGTTCAGATGGCTCTTTGGTGTCGCTGTCCCTAACGTCACATACAGGCTGGGTCACATCAGTGAAGTGGTCTCCAACCCATGAGCAGCAGCTGATTTCAGGTTCTTTAGATAACATGGTCAAACTGTGGGATACAAGAAGGTAAATTCTATTTATGATCTACACTAGAAATCTGTCAATTGCCCGTTGTATAAGAGAAAATGAAATGAATACTGAAATGATTATCCAAAAGCAGAAGGGTGAAAAAAAACTTCTTGGTCATACAACCTGAAATGATAAATATTGATATCGAAAAGAAAAGCCAGGATCAAAGGAATTTTCTCCGTGTTAATATGTTGTTTTTTGCATTCTGAAAGAATTGTGATCATTTCTCTTTTGCCAAAAAAGAAAAAAAAACCCACAAGTTTATAAAAGCCATCTTTCTGACTTTGTTATATAAAACAAGAAAAAAAGAGAAAAATTATCCTGACCCTTAATATAAATATGATAATTATAAAAGCAGAAGGCCAGTGCTCTCTGAATAAATGGAACTGTGATCAAATTATAAATTATATGTTAATAAAAAATTAACTAAAAATACAAATTTTTAAAGATAACCAGATATTAAAGGTTTCTTTCTTACTCATGGACTAGTGCTATGTTTCTAGTGTATGCAGATATAAAATGCATACACAATTTAATTACATATTTTTATAAGTAGAATGGAGAGGCATTCACCCAGATACCTGTTTGTTTGTTGTTGTTTACCTTAAATCTGCATCCTAACATCCTCATACTACCTAATGGTACATGATTTGTTACTATCTAGAAGGTATATGCATTTTAATTGGATGCTTTGTATAGCAATTAGCATATAGTTTCTGATAATAGTAGTAAGTGCTATGACAAAAATGAAGCAGAGTACAGGGGCACTTCTTTGATGAAGGCCTCTCTTTGAAAGTGATATTCCAGTGGTGAACTGAACAATGTGAAGGTGTGAGCCATGCACAGATCATGGCAAAGGGAACAGCAGATAAGGTGGGGAAAATCTTGGCATGTTGGCAAAATAGCAAGAGGGCCAGTGTTGATGGAGTAGAGTAAGCGAGGAGAGTGGCAGGGCGTGAGGCAGGTGATGGTTACATCGAGCAGGACGTTATGGGCCATGGTAAGGAATTGGGGTTTCATTCTAAGTGTAATGAAGAAAGCTTTGGAGGTATCTGAACAGGGGAGCAAGAATGGAGGCAGAGAGGCTATTGTAGTTCAAGAGACAGATACTGGTGATTTGGACTGTGGTGGTAGCATCATAAATAAGTGGTTGGATTTTAGGTGTATTTTGAAGATAGCTCTTTGGCAGAATTGGCTCATGGGTGGAATATGCAGATAGGAATCAAGGATAATGCCCATATTTTCTGCCTGAGCAATTGGGTGATTAGTGGTGCCATTTACTGTGATGGGAAAGAGTAGAAAAACAGGTTTGTGAGGGGAAATCAGAGTTTTGTTTTGGTTGTAGTGACTCAGGAGAGAAGTTTGGGCTAAAGATATAAATTTGGGAGTTATCAACATATATATGGATAGACAAAGGGTATATAAAGCCATGAGTTGGGGGGAGAAGAAAAGTAGTCAAGGAAGTGTGAAAATGGGCCTAATTATAAATAAATTTTTATAAATAGCATTTTTCCTGAATATATTTGTTGCAGTAAATCTCTATAGTCTGCTAATGATACAGGAAAAACAGGAGAGGTAGTCAAGTAAATACTCAGAATTTTAAGGTTAAGTGGTTATTGGGGTAAGAATGGTAAAATCGGTAATGTTTTCAGAAAAGTATAAGTGATTATTCATATATGGTTGTTTTAATACTATGAAATGCATATAACCTGTTAATATTTTATCTTTTAGTTGTAAAGCTCCTCTCTATGATCTGGCTGCTCATGAAGACAAAGTTCTGAGTGTAGACTGGACAGACACAGGGGTAAGAATTTATTAGTTATTTGGTGAAGAGGAAAATTTTTATTTGAATAAATCTGGTGTTTGTGTTTATGGAGTTACTAGTTTAAATATATCTGATATTTATAATTCAGTTTTCTAAGTTTCCCTTAATATTATTCATAAAATCTCATCTCATTCAAAGAAGAAACAAATTATTTTTGAAGTATAGTTGACATAAAATATTAGTTTCAGTGATTCGACACTAATTCAGTGTCGAATTAGTGATTCAACATTTATATATATTACAAAATGATCACTACAATAAAGAGGAAACAAATTTGTTGTTTAACATTAGGAGTAGTAAAATTTGAAAATTTTGAAGCAGTTTTTTCCTCTTGAGTATTTTAATGAAATGTTTTAAGTCTGTAAAACTTGCTACTTCAGACTAATTGGATCAAAGTATTTCCCACTTAGAAAAATCTTACAAAATTAGTCTAGATTATAAAATGTGTTTAAAGAATTACAGTTTAATTATTTCTGTGTATATACATTAGCCCTTATTGCCTAAGAATTCTTTCCAAATACAGGTCCTAGTGCTACTTGAATAATTTGTAATGTCCATTTACCCACAAACAGTTAATGTGCTGCCCTTTAAAAACTTAATTTTCTTAAATAGGTAAAACTATATCACTTTTCCAACTTTTTAATTTTATTACATTTCTTAGCACATGCTTCATAGAAAATACAATAGCATATTATGCCTCAACCAAATTCAAATGGTCACTTTTCAAGTTTTAATATACTGTTGTAATATAGTAGTGAAAAATGATGTAATTGGTGCATTTAAGTATTAACTCTCAAGGCAAGTTATCTGCTCATCCGTAATTCCTTCTATAATCAGAGTCATCAGTATTTAATTAGGTTAGCTGTCATATGAAATAATTGTATTTACTTCTGTGTTTGTGCTTTTTTCTCTCCCTTTTTACACAGTTACTTCTGAGTGGAGGAGCAGACAATAAATTATATTCCTACAGATACTCACCTACCACTTCCCATGTGGGGGCATGAAAGTGAATGATAAATGTGACTACAGAGATCCTTTCTATAAATGAACGCAGATGCAGAAAGCAGATTTTGAGATTAAAGTTCATATAATGTGTCACTCTCAGTAACAGTTATCACTGTTTTTCTTTATTTTGTATTTATTATATAACAGTTGTGTTTATAATCTATAAAATGTGGCCTGTATTCTCTACATTATGCAAATTCTTGAAATTAAACTGAATTTTGAATTTCTTTTTAAAGATACTGGTTTGAATTAAGATTTTCTTTTGAAATGCTGTAAAAGCATATATTAAAAATATAGTAATTGTCCATATTTTTATTTCTGATGGAGAAACTTAACTTTTTAAAGTTAGCTATTTTAAAAAAGTATCTTTAAAAAAACCTAATAAATTTTAATAGAGAAAAAATTAGAAATACAATTTGCTTTTTGGGAAAATAAGTGATGTCTAACTGTAATAAGACTTTGTAAGTATTCAGAACATTAAAACATGTAGATGTTGCCAATTTATTAAGAATTTGTTGAAATATTTTAAGTGAAGTACTTCATATTAAAGATATATCAGAAACCTTTAGAAACTGCACACAAATTTGATGGTAACCAGGAATATCTCTCCCAAACTTATCCTCGTATATACATTAGATTCTTTAGACAAAATTTTTCCATCCGTATTAGATAGTAAACATTCTACAAATGTTAGATATTAGCATTTATCTAAATTCGTATGTTATATACCAAATATTTAAAGTAAATCTCTTAGTATGTGAGTTCCATCTTTAATGGATTGGTATTCCTCAAGCAGAGCACTTCAGCCTCTGAGTAATCTGTGGGAATCAGTCTGGTCTCATCACTAGGCTAATGCAACGTCTCTCACTCGAGGTTCCTCTCGCAGAGGTCTAGGAAACAACAGCTATACTTGGCTGCATTTGAGAGCCAAATTCATAGTAGACGAAACCAGGTGGGAGTTTGGTTAGAGGCAGTCCAGGGCTGGTGGAGTGGCTTTGTTCCACACCCCTTAGGGACCCAGCTAGCTCTCCTCCTTTGATGCAGTCCTCATTCTCACACAGACCAAGAGCTAGAGCTCCAGTTATGTCATTTCTTAGAAGAGGGTATATTTTAATGCCCCAAAAGTGAATAAAGGTAGCTGGAAAATTCACACAGACAGTCTTTGTTTTCCTCAATTTGTGCAGACTGGTATAAATTTCATCATATCTGTAGTCTCTGGAAATCTAACTTTCAGAAGACAAAGATGAATTTATATTCCTGTTTTGGACAAAGTATACCTAATTGCTGAGTAAGTCAGTTCAAGAAAAAAGGCTGAACTTCCACCATTTACCAGGGTCTCTAGTGGGATGGAGGAAAGAGAAAAAACACAGAAATGTAGAAAACATGGACTTTTTGACTACCTTCAAAAAGTGCACATTCTGGAGCTGGCCCCGTGGTTGAGTGGTTAAGTTTGTGAACTCCGCTGCAGGCGGCCCAGTGTTTCCTTGGTTTGAATCCTGGGTGCGGACATGGCACTGCTCATCAAACCACGCTGAGGCAGCGTCCCACATGCCACAACTAGAAGGACCCACAACGAAGAATATACAACTATGTACCGGGGGGGCTTTGGGGAGAAAAAGGAAAAAAATAAAATCTTAAAAAAAAAATGCACATTCTTACATGGGAGATAGTCATTTAAAAATTAGTTACAAGAGTATCCTAAGTGCAAAGGAAGATGGAAGGTAGAAAGGTAGCATAGAGATGGGAGCAATTAGCTTTGTGAGGAGCACGTTGGCTGTCAAGGAAGGTGTCATAGAAGAGTGACATTGGAGCCAGATTTGGACAGATAATTGGTTAGGAAGGTGGAAATGCAGGTTATTTCTGGCAGAGGGAGCGGCACAGAGCATCAGAAATATAGCTCAAAAATACTGTGAGCAAGGAAGTGAGCATAATATTTCTTCATATGCTAAGAAGTTTAGTTTTGTTTCTCTCTTTTAAATAAAGCTGCCGTTCTTGCCTTAACTAAGACATGATCTTTTCTTTTATTACTTTTTTTTTTTTTTTGGAGGAAGATTAGCCCTGAGCTAACATCTGCTGCCCATCCTCCTCTTTTTGCTGAGCCACTAATTGGAATCAGGTTTTATTAGGCAAGTAATATCCAAACTTTGCTAATCAGAAACTGCCAGATATAAAAACAGGAACTTTTAGTCACTTTAATATGGGAATTTTTTGACTGTGACTTCTAGTATCAAACATTAATAATGTTATTTTGTTATATAAACCAAATATATCTTAATGGTACTTAGTAGAAAAGTATTTTTGGTTTGTTTAATAAATTGGCTGTCTGTTCCAATATTAGTTCCACTGATTTGCAGCTTTGAGGAAGTAAATTATTTTCTGGCAGTGTTTATAAAAATGGCAAAGAACATAACACCGTAGCAATCCTCTGGCATAGGTACTAAAGTGACCTGTATTTTGAAGAAGAGGAATATATATGTTAGAAGGTGAAGTTATTTGACCAGATTTCAGGCAGCCAGTAAATGGCAGGTAAGGATTTGAGTTTCCCTGAGTTTCGAGCTGAAGCTCTTAACTAATTCATATTCTGCCAATTCTTCAGTCATGCACAAGAACGATGTTTTTATAAATGTAAAGAATAAGTGTGAAAATGTCTTCACATGCTTGAAAGAAAGGTTATATAAATTTAAGTGGCATTTATTAGTACCAAATCACTATAATGTTATGTTCAGCTTTGCATGTTCTTGCCTTTAAAATTAATTTCAACTTTAGTATGCCACTAAAGGTATTAGCATAATAATACAAAAATGTGTACTTTAAAGATCCATTTCTGTATTTGCATATAGGAATTGTTTATGAGCAAATAGGAATTTTGGAAATTTTCCTGTCGTTCATATTATTTGAATTATCACGTTATTTGTGTCATTAAAGGAAACCACAACCCAGACAGGTTAAAGAGCCTATGTGAAGGTATAGAGCCAGTTAGTGATGGAGACAGGAGACATGGCTCTGATAATAAAGACCACAGAGAAACGATCTTTAGGTTTCTGTACAGGTTTGTATCAGGTACAACCTGATAGAAAGTTTAGAAACATGTGAAACAACTTATGTGTATTTAGTAAAGGTATAAATAACATGCCTGGGACTTATTAATACCAAATTAAGTTTAATGGCTGTTTCAGGGGGAGGAAATACTTTTTTTTATGTGTCTACAACACTTCACATTAAAAAATCCTTTTAATAATGCTGTCTCTAATTCTAGCCTTACTTGAATAGACAAAGATGTAGTAAGGGAGAAAGCCTGTTTAGCTTGCCATGTGTAATTACTAGTGTGGGCATCTGGGGAGATGGCTGTCCATACCCTCACCGCCTGCCACTGACCTGTTGCTTCTGACTTCCTTGATGAGATGGAACAGATGACAAAGGAAGTGGAACACTTTGAAGAAATGGAGTTATTTCCATGACATCAGGTTCAGTAGATCCCTAATTCTTAATAAAACAGTACAAAAGGGTAGAATTCTTAACATGTTTTCTAATATCAATTGAGGTTTTATTCGGGAGATTAACCAGAGGTTTGCTTGATAGTGCAAAAATAAAAGTAAAGCTCACTGTCCTCTAAGGAAATTAGGACTCAAGGTTGGGATCCCAGATTTGTGGGGCCCAACATTCCAAGTCATCTAATGGTCTTCTTTTCTAGTTAGCTTGTAGAATCCTACCACGGAGGAAAACACTTTATACTAGGAAAAATCGTAATATGTTGATAGGAAATTAAATAACAGTTCTATAAGTGTTTGTACTTTTAAATGAAATTAAATCTTCCCATATAAAAGCATTTTAATGGTGTTAAATCCTTTCATTTTCTAAACGAGGTTTTTTATGAAATACTAAATTTTAACTACTGCAGCTGCCTCATTTGTTAAGGGACTAGTACAAGCCATTTAAATATTTCCTTATCAGTCCTACAGCTAAAGGAAGATTATTAATTTATTCCACAAACATTGAATAGCATGAGTAAGCAGACCCGATTCCTGCCCAGGAGGAATGTCGGTATCGCTACCTCGTTTACTGAAACCATTCCGATACTGTGCCCCGACTTGCACGCTTTTCTAAGTGACCTGTGAAGAAAAAGTGATTATGTGTAAATGCTACATTTTATGGTGGAGACACTGTGTATCTTTTGGTAATTTTCCCCAATTAAGTGAACAAAACCCATAGGCCTGGTGCAGAGTCACTACTCTGACTTACTGGTGTGTTCCTTGGAGGGCCTTTCTCTGCTTCAGGTTGAGTTGAAGAAGCTATTAGTCTAATATCCTCTTGAGTTAAATGTTGACCAAGCATTTTGTAAAATATCCCAAGAAACTTACGATGGTGCGTGGTAACATTTTGAAAGTCATTTTGCTTACCATATTAGAATGAGTTATTCTCTGGGGAGAAAGGTGTTCAGTTCTTGTTAGATAGTTTATACTGTATCCTTCAGTCATCAATTAGCTATCTTTGCTTCTATTCATTTATTGATTGAACAAACCTTCAGAATCTAGTATGTATTAGGGACTGTGCTAAGAGAGAAGACTATGGAAATGCATAAGGTTTTCACTCCGGAGGAGCTCAGCATCTACTGGGGAAGACAAGCAGGCAAACGATTACGGTACAGTAGAGTTGAGGGAGAGTAGAGGCATGCCGTTAGTGGGGACGCCAAACTGAGCATGAGTGAGTCAGGAAAGATGTGAGCAAGTACAGCAATCATCAGACTTGCCAAATGCTAATTCTTGCCCTTTTAAGGATCTGGACCTTGAGAATCTGAGGAAAGCTGTGCATTCTTTCCTAACAAACAAACAAAAAAACCACCATACCAAAATTTTGCATATTATCTTAGGTATTCATCCATTCCTCAAAAGCCCATATATCTCAGGGTAAGACTCCCTGGTCAAAGACGTCTTAATATTTTCAGTCCAACTTATCTCTGTAGTATAAATAGCCTACCCTTTTTCCTATTCTAAAACTACTTTTTTCAGGTTTTCAAGGTAAGAACTTTGTTATAATCTAGAATCTCACCCCATCTTTGTGTCTTTTATGATCTTACAGCCTTTAGTTACCACCTCAGGTGTAAGCTTTTTTCCTTTCTAGCCTATATGTCACAGTTTTAATTCGTATTTCGTAAAGTTTTAAGAAAGCTGATAATATTTTTGAATCACCTTTAAAAAGAAAGCAATTTGAATTTATCTTCCACCAGAAATATAGTTTTACTTTTGCCTTCTATTTTTTCCTTGAGGTTTTTAGGTTCAAATTTTACCTCTGACTCTCGAAGGCTCATTTATGACAACAAATTATCCTATGTGCATGTGCCTTTGAGGTGAGTTTTTAACAGTTGTTAACTTAATCCTCTTTAAACCTTTACAGTAAGAGTTAACGACAGCGCGCGAGCATTCACCGCGTGCCGGCACTGGCAGAAGCCCCCGAGGACTCAGGAATGACCGGGGCTCAGAAGCCTCTAGCAGCTTCGCAGGGGTGGCCCCGAGGGCCCGGCAGGTGCAGGGGCTCGGAGGAGGCGGGAGGACCCGGGCCACGGGCGCGGGGCTCAGAGAAGGAAGCCGAGCATCCTTCCCACTTGCCCACGCCCCGGAGGTCTCAACTCGGTTCCTTACACCGGTGTGCGGACCGCCGTGGTGTCTTCCTTTCCCTTGATGAGGTACGGAGGCGCCCGGGAAAGGGGGGACAGAGAGGCCGCCCCCGGGGGCAGGCTGGAGCCTGCAAGGAGCGAGCGCGGCGGCCGGGCCCAGGTGCCAGGCGCCGGGTTTCAACCCCCGCCCCCGCCCCCGGAGCCGACACTCCCCGCACCGGGGCGGCGGGGCGCGGGCTCGCGGGCGGCGGTGGCAGACGGCCCTCTGCACGGCCGAGCGCGACCCAGGCGGCGGAGCAGCGGCGCGGCGGCCCGGGGGCGCGGTGAGCGTCTGCGGCGCCGGCCCTCCCTCCCCGGCGGCGGCCGCGCCCTCCCCGGCCCTCCCCGGCCCTCCCCGGCCCTCCAGCCCGAGGCCGAGCCCGCGGTTCCCATGGCGACGCCCCGAGGCGGAGGCGCAGGCGCAGGGGGAGGCGCGGCGGGAGGCGCTGCACGCGCGCAGGCGGCGTCTCGGGGCCCGGCCGGCCGCCTCGTGGAGGAGGTGCTGGGCCGAGCCCCTGCCTGTCTGCGGGCGGAACGGGCAGCGGTGGCTTTGGCGCGGCCGGGCGCTCTCGGCGCCGAGGGCGTCCCACCCACGGCCCCCGGGGCCAACGTGCGCGGCGGCCCGAGGCTGGCTGCGGGGCTTTCCTTCGAAGGCGGCGGGCGCTTCCGTTAGAGGCAGATGCTCACAGCCTTTAGGTGCTTTCCTGCTGACCTCCTTTTATGTCGTGCTCATTTTTATGCCATTATTTTGTCATGGGAATGTCTTTCGAAACTAAGTGGCCAGCGATTGGTAAAAGCAAAACCTAAGTAAATGTGCGGTTTAAAGCGAACTGCGGAAGGCACGAGCTCCCGAGGGGTTGCGGGTACAAACCCTGAGGCCTTGAACCCAGCCCCGCGCACGGATCCGGCTTGTGGAAACGCGGATCATCTGGTCAGGTGCCCAAATGATGTCACTGTCAGATACTTGATGCTCTGGGAAAGATGGAGAGGGGGAAAATCCGTCCTAGCAACCAACCCGCCATGCCGTGGGTTTGCCGGTAGAGGGGGTGGGACTGTTGTCCATGTAATAGATGATCTTGATGCGCAGAGCATAGAAGCTGTTATAAACTATGGGTCACTGTCACATAGCTTGTTGGGAAGATAACGTTTATCCGTGGTTTTGGGTTTTCTCTAAGTATTTTGAGTGTTGGTTAATTTGATTCTGACACAGGCAACGCACTGTAAGGCGATATTCCTTTAATCATCTTCACATCAATATTTATGGAGTAGCCACAGGTGCCTCCTCCTTTAGTAAGAGTTAATGATGCGTTTTTTGGCCAAATAAACATCTAACGGTATGTATATATTTTTTATATGACCAAAGTTTGTAACCTTTTTATATTTGTTGTCTGTGCCTAACCTACCCAGTATTCCTTGAAATTTCTGTGTTTATTCAATCGTGTAAAATGATGTACCTCTAGCCATTAAAACAGTTGTGTGCAAGACATTGTTCTAATTGCTAGTGGTTATAATTGCCAGACAAAAATTATAATTTTAGAGTTATATGGGTGTTCAGAAATCAGCCCGTCCAAGTGCAAAAAATGCAAACATGAGACTGATGAAAAATCTGGGAAGCTATATTTTTATTAGAAATATTTATTAATAAAGAAAAACTATACCAGTGACTGAACTGGGACCAAATATCAAAATATTAAATATCATACATAAAACCTAATATATTGTTTTGATCTACTATGCTGTCCAACCTTGTAAATTCATTCTGTGATACAGCCTATATGTAAAATTTTTGCTTTTATAGTTTACCTTTTTCAGTACTCACTGTGCCTTCTTTAAAATTTTATTCTTTTTATATTTGTTAACAGATGAGGTGTGTGACTTTTAAAGATGCCTGTAACTGGGAAAATTTCCCCAAGTGAACTGGCTTTTGTTGTTTAATAATATCTTTATTCCTTTTTTCCATTTTGTCTGTTTTTCATTCATCCCTTAGGTTTTTCCTTTTTTCTGAAGGTAAACGTTTCGAACTTCTGCTTGGGTCCAATATTCACTGTTAAAAGTTAGTCGCCCTCTATGTAACCCGTTATTATCATTGTTATCATTAGTAGTAGTACTGTTTTGCCACTGTTGACTTGTTTGCAAATAACAGTTTTTAGATTTTTAAAATTTCTTTTTGTGTCTTTTTCTTTGTTTTATCATTTAGTGAAAATTATTTTAAGATTTTGCTGATTCATTATTTATTGAGATGCGTTATTTTATTTCCAAATATTTGGAAATTTCTGTTGCTATTGATTTCTAAATTTGTGATGTTGTGAGAGAACACACCCTTTATTATTTCAAGACCTTTAAATTTATTGTTTTTTGCTTGTGTTGTTTTTTCTGCCCAGCCTATGGTCTATCTGGGTGAATGTTCCAATTACCTTTGGGGGAAAATGTGTACTTGGCTGGTGGTGAGTGGAGTGCTCTATAAGTGTCAATTAGGTCAAGTTGATTGTGAAGCATTTTACATCCTCACTTTTTCTGTCTCCTTATCCTGTCGGTTGCTCTGGAAGGAGTATTAAATCTCTAATTATGATTGTAGATTTGTCTATTTCTCCCTTTAGTTCTGTCATTTTTTTTTTGTTTGGTGGCTTTGTTGTTAGTCACATACACATTTAAGATTGGTATGTCTTATTGATAAATTGAACCTTTTATTATTATGAAATGTCCATCTTATCTCTGAATATCCTTTTTACTTGGAAACCTGTTTTGTCTGACATTCATATAAGCTTACTGTTTGCCTTAGATCTTTTTCTGTTCTTTTCCTTTTAACTCACGTGTGTATTTATGTTTGAAGTGTGTTTCTTATAAACTACATATGATTGGGTTGCACTTGTTTATCCAGTCTTTCAGTTTCTGCCTTTTAATGATGTTATATAGTCCATTTATATTTTTGTAATTTTTTCTGGGTTTGTATTAGCATATTGGTGTCCTTTTTCTATTTTCCCACTTACTCTTTGGTCCTCTTTCCTGCCTTCTTTTGGGTGAATTGAGTTTTTAAAAAAATATTCTATTTTTTCCTCCTCCCTTGACTTTTTAGTTTTGCCTCTTTGTGTTATCTTTTTATTGGTTGTGCTGGAGATTACAATATGCATCTTGAATTTATCACAGCCTATTTTCAAACACATTCTAGTACTTCATGGACAATGTAAGAATGTTATAATTTATGCTTCACTTACCGTCCTCTCATCTTTGTACTGTTGTCATGTATTTTACTTCTGCATATGCTCTATATTTTTATTATTTTTAATTTAGAGAATCAATCTTTTAGTGAAATTTAAAGATGCATGTGAATATGTAATTTTTAAAAATTCCTTTGTATTTATCAATATATTTACCCTTTTGGATTTCTCTCTTGCTTCCTATAGAACTGAGTTTCCATCTGTTATCATTTCCCTTCACCCTAAAGAATGAATATCTAGGCCTGCTTGCGAAAAATTCTTTCAGCTTTTAACTGTGAAATTTTATTTTGTTTTCATTTTTGAAGGATATTTTTATTGGATATAGAATTCTTAGCTAACTTTTTTTTCAAGACTCAAAGATGGGGCCTGGCTCCGTGGCCAAGTGGTTAAGTTCACCCACTCAGTTTCAGCAGCCCAGCGTTTTGCCGGTTCGGATCCCAGGCACGGACATGGCACTGCTCATCAGGCCACGCTGAGGCGGTGTCCCACATGCCACAACTAGAGGCACTCACAACTAGAATATACAACAGTGCACTGGAGGGTTGTGGGGAGAAGAAGAAGGGAAAAAAAAAGAGGAAGATTGGCAACAGTTGTTAGCTCAGGTGCATCTTTAAAAAAAAGAGACTCAGAGATGTAGGTCCCTTGTCTTTTGGCCTCCGTTGTTTTGTTGAGCAGCTCACTCCTCTTCCTGCTGTTCTGCCAAAGTGGAGAGCAGCTGGGGCTGTCGAGTCCTAGGTAGGGCTAGTCACCTTCTGGATTTCTGTTCAGTAGGTTTTTGCACCCTCAGCTCTCTGATGGGCTTTAAGAAAACGCATAATTTTGTGGGTTCTCCAGCTTATTCTCATGGTTAGAATGGGAGTGTTCTCTTGCAACTTTCTAAAGTGGGAATGGAAGATCAGTACAATACGGATTTAATTAGTATTGCTTAAAAATCTGTCATTACTCTTACTTTCTAGATTTTTTCCCGGTTATTCTTAGATTTGTTTTCCCAACGAGTTTCAGACTCAGTCTGTCTTTTTTAGCAGAGCTGCAAACAGTGTCTTGGTAGGGATTTAGATTCCACTGAATGCATTGATTAGAGACAATGACTGCGTTACTTTGTTCACTCTTCCTATCCAAGAACAGGGCATGGCTTTTCTTTTTGAAGTTTTCTATTTTAGTAGTGTTTTAGTTTTCTTCTTGTTAGTTACTTGATGTGGAATTTATTCCTAGGAATTTTAATTGGGATGAATTTTTTCTTGCATTATATTTTCTGTTTATTTTTTGGAAATCAATAGGAAAACTGCTCGATTTTGTATATTAATTTTATAACCAGCTACCTTCTTAAAAGACCTTATTGCTTCTTCTAATAATTTCTCAGTGAATTGTCTTATGTGTTCCAAGTATGCTATCACATCATGTGTAAAATGATACTTTGGCCTCCTGCATTTTGATATTACTCCCTCATTTCTTTTTTGAGTCCCACTGTGTCACTTAGCAGTTCTAGAACAATGCTAAATAATAGAATA